TAAGTTTTTGCCATATCTGATTGGGTATCCTTATTTTTTTTCATGATACAGCAAATAAAGGGCTCTCCCATTTTCTTATCAGAAAGGAAAGAAAATGCACTACTATTTATATTTAAATAGCATCTTCAATTTTGATTTCTTTATAGGAATTATTTAAAGCAATTTCTATTTTATAAGAATTAGTTAAAACTGGGTCAAATGAGGCTGAGGTGTAGCTCAGTGGTGCACATTTAGTGTCTGTGAGACTTCGGGCTCAATCTCTAGCACCACATGGAAAAGAAAAATAAAAAGCTGAATAAAATGATGTATAGACTCACTTAACTGAGCATGTATAAACTGTAATGTGACCCATGAAGGAAGCAAGTGAGTGACCAAGGGGAAAGAACATCACTGCTACCCCTTCTGTGATGTGCGATGTCAGCTCTCCCCTCAAGATGTTTGGCATGTTTGTGAGGGGGGGGGCATCTGATGATATGTGACTAAGGAATGGGTACCAGCATTAGTGTATTTACTAAATATTAATGAAGCTTAACTTTTTTCAACTTTTTAGATAAAAATGTTTTAGAGATACAATTTATATTTTCTTCCCACACCCCCATGGATCATTTAATGTGCCTGTACGATTGCATGAAGCCCACCCCACTGCAGTTTCCATGGACTTACTCCTCACACCACTATAACCAGGCCTCTGCATCTGCTACCAGTACTTTTCCAGCACAAAGTTTACTGTCACCAGTAAACTACTTTAGCATAAAGAAGAAAAAGGAGGACAGAGTAGTTGGAATACAGTTGCCTTTTTGCCTGCCTGCCTGCTTGGCTGTTTACCCACAGTTCCCTTCCCCCTTCCCTCTTTCCTTCCTTCTTTTCTTCCATCTTTCTTTCCTTCCTTCTTTGAGAACCACAGAAGACTAAATAACCAAAGCAATTTTGAACAAGAGCAGTTCAAGAGAACTTATACCACTTGATTTCAGGACTTATTACAAAGCTACAGTAATCAAAATTCTATACTTGCCTAAGAAAGGACATAGACCATAGAATAGAGAACCAGATGTAAATCCGCACATATGTGGTCAGTTGTACTTCAGCAAGAATGACAACACACAGTAGGGAAAGGATAATCCAATAGTCTTGGGAAAACTGGATTTCTGCTTGCACAACAATGAAATTGGGCCTTTGCCTGACACCATGCACAAAAGTAAACTCAAAGTGGATTAAAGAACCTGAAACAATAAAACTCTTAGAAGAATACTTCAGGAAAAGTTTGAAGACCTTGGTCTTAGCAGTGCTTTCTTGGATATGGCACTAGAAGTATAGACAACAAAAGCAAAATTAGATAAGGGAGAATACATCAAACTCAAAAGCTGCACAGCATAGGAGACTTGTCAACAAAGTTAAAAAGTAGCCTGTGAAATGGAGGAAATATTTACAAACCACTTACCTAGTGAGGAATAACTATCCAAAATAGGTAAGAAACTGATGGGAAAAGAGCTGAACAGACATTTCTCCAGAGAGATGCAAATGGCCAGTAGATGTATGAAAAAGTGCACAGTATTACTGATCCTGAAGGAAATGCAAATCAGAATCACAATAAGATATCAGCTCACATCTGTTGTGATGGCTCTTGAAAATAAAAACCAAAAAGGAAAAAGTACTGGTGATGATGTGGAGAAAAAAGAATCATTGTATACTATTGGTATATGAGCATAGCCAATACGGAAAACAGCAAATTAAAATAGAATCACCACTGGATCTAGCACCTCTTCAGGGTAGATCCAAAGAAAATAAAATCACTATCTTGAAGAGATAATTGCCATCCCGTGTTCATAATATAAGTATTCACCGTAGCCAGGATATGGAAACAGCCTAAATGTCTATCAGCAGATGCATTGGTAAGGAAAAATTACACACACACACACACACACACACACACACACCCCAGCCTTTTAAAGTGTTCAGCCTTTAAGAAAACAGGAGAGGGCTAGGGATTTAGCTCAGTGGTTCTGCCACCTGCCTCACAAGCACAAGGTCCCAAGTTCTATCCCCAGTACCAAAAAAAAAAAAAAAAAGCAGGAGATCCTGTGATTTGCAACAACATAGGTGGATGTGGAGGACGTTACAATAGACCAGAGCAATAGACCAGATACAAAAGTGCAAGTACTGGGCCGGGGATTTAGCTCAGTGGTTCCACTGCCTGCCTCATAAGTGCAAGGACCCAAGTTCGAGCCCCAGTAACAACAAAAAAAAGTGCAAGTACTGCATAATGCCACTTTTATGGAGAATCTACAGTAGTGAAACTCAGAATCAGTACAGTAGTGGTTACCCAGGGGTGGGAGGGCAGGCAGATGGAGTGGAGGAGGTACCAGTCAAAGGATACAGAGTTTCACTTAATGCAAGATGAAAAGGTTCTGGAGATCTGCTGTCCAACACAGCACAGTCAGCAGTACTGTATCATTTACTTAAAATTTGCTGAGGCAGTAGATCTTAGGTTAAGTTCTTTTACCACAAAAGAAAAAGCACCATTATTTTGAAAACGTCTTTTAAATTAAACAAAAGAGAAAATTTTGGAGATCTTAAGGTTTATGGCAGTAGACTTTCCCGTTTTGAAAAAAGATATGTAAGCCCCAAATATGAAGAAGATACTACATTTGACCAGAAAGATTTGTGAACAGCTATGGGTCTACGTGGTGCCATTAGCATGCTCTTCAGTGTCACTTGGTCTTAAATTGTGTTTAGTCCAGCAATTGGTAGAAGAGCAGATTTTAGATTATCTTTCCTCTCCCACAGCTAACAATGCTTTAAGGGCATTAAAGAACTCTAAACAGGCCTTGCTTTTGAATCTGCATGTCAGGAGGGTGCCCAGGAGGATGTCAGGTCCCAGTGATTAATGATCTCTAGGAAGTGAACAGGAGAGAGTAATACACACAGTTTCCCACCCCCTGGTAGGAATGCAAACACTGTTGTGCAAATCTGTGCATAGTCGCTGACTTCCTGGTAGCTGGGGAGTTTCATACTCTCTTCCACCACAAATAAAACTGTCAAGCAGAGTGACAGAGCTCAGAAAGTTGGCCTTCCTCACTGAAAAAGAATAGCTCAAACACAGTGAGCCAGAAAATTAATTTTGTATTTGTTTGGGGACCCAGTTGTTTAATAAGTGAGAAAATGGGAACTTTTCTTGAAAAGCCTGAAACTTCCAAATATTTGTTGATTCCAGCCCTACATTTGGTTTCTTAAATTTACCAAGCCCCTAGAAACTACTTTGAATGAATTTAAAGGGGAAACATTCCCTTGTAGTGAAATGACCCATCTTAAACTTTTCAATTTGCTCTCTGGTAGACTTAAAGAATCATACTGTATGATAAACTCCAGAGCCTGTTGCTTTATGTTTGGGGGAGAAAAAATCCCAATATTTCAGGCAGACTTGTGTAGTTTTAGCAAGTAATTCCCAGGTAAAATTGTTTTTCTTTCTCACCCCTTTTTTTCTCTATCAGTGAATCCATGGTATTTAGTAATAATTTCCAAATGCTTAAATCAAAAGCAAGCCATTTTAAACTACAATTAAGGAACTACAAAGCCTTATAAAAATTTTTAAAAGAAAGCTAGTGAGGAAAGCATCGTATTTCTAGTTGCCTTTGGTTACTACTTATAACCAAAATTAGAGACTGTAACAGTAGTGGTAGAGTCACCAGCAGCAGCATAAGTTAGATTTTGCCAAAAACCATTTATTTGTAAGTCTCGTTAAATTTATTTGTTTACTATTTATGCCCTCTGTATTACCACACATTGCTCTGCATTGTCTGATTCTTAAGTAGATATGCCAGTTTTTATTTTTCCATAGTATAATAAGAAAGGAAGTATTGATTGTTGGAGAAATAGAGCTACATTTCAGGGTAAAGGAGAAAAAAACTTTATTTTTCTGTTTTTCTATTTGTTTTATTTTTTAGGTGTCACTATAATCTAAATTAAATTTTAGGCTACTAATAGTCTAAATTAAGACAGATGAATTAAGCCCTGCATTTGGTTTCCAAGTGATTTTACTTTTAAACTGCATTTGAAAGAGTTTATTTTTAGTCAGGATGTGGTTATTTTTAGATGTGCTTCTCTCTCACTAGGAAATGTAATGCCTGTCTTTCCATTGTTGTTTATCAGGAAGTTCTGAGGCTCGAGCAGTTCAGATCCAGTTAGCACAGAACACTACTCCTCCTTTTAGATGAAAATAGGAAATAATGCCTGGGGGAAAACAGGCCCATTGAGAAGATGTATAATTTTGAAATTGTTGGTGACATTTTAATCTCTTGTACAGTGAGGGATAAAACAGTGTTCCAGGAGTGCCACAAATACTAGGTTTGGGTTCCCCCTGCTGGTGTGTATCTGGGGCTCATGTGCTCCTAACACACAGCAAAAGACCTAGGGGTAGAGACCTGGGAGTGAGCAATGGAGAAAAGGCACCATCTCCCCTTTCCTGCCATTGTCTTACAAAAAATGGGATGATGTAAAAATTGTATTTTACACATCTAGAAAGAACAAAACTTAATCCTACAATGTTTGGTTTTTATTGTTGTTGCCTCTGTGATAAGCTGCTTACATCCATTTCTTCTCAGTGCTTTACATTGTAATCCAAGGAATAATAAAACACCAGTGGACCCACAAAAGGGCTTAAACTCCCAAAGGAAATGCAAAGCTAACATTGTTGTCATGATAAAATTAAAGACCGTGGCATTAAAGCTCACTAATTCCTATTTTAGCATTTCAGGAAGTAAAATGACATTGTGTGATGTGTCTCTCCATTCAACATCTGTTCTTTCTAATTTGTCATATGTGTGTTTGAGACAGTTCTTTATTTTCTGTCTGTTAGTAAATGACAAATAAATATTAATGGTTCACTTTGAAAAAGAAAAATTTTAATTGACTCCTAAAAGTCACCCCTGAACTTCTTATTATGTTTGCATTCTAAAAGACTATTCAATTAACTTAAAATATTGTATTTTAAAATTGCTTTTCAGCAATGCAGTCAACCTTTTAAGCAATGTTCCGGTCTCTTGTTTGGATGTTCTCATTTGTCCATTAACCCATGAAGAAACAGCCCAAGAGGCAACGACTCTAGATGAACTGCCCAGCAATAAAACAGCTGAGAAAGAGACAGTTTTGAAAAGCAGTACTGTGGTATACAATGGTATGAACATGGAGGCCATTCATGTTTTACTCAGTTTTATGGAGAAGAGAATAGACAAGGTAAGGCTCCTAAAATGGAAGCTCAGAAGATGCTTCTAAAGAATGTAAACGTGCCACACATACAAAGACGGACCACAGAGCGTCATTTCTAAACCTAAGCTTTTTAAAATAGCTTATTTTAAAAAATAGCATATTTTTACTTTGGAAAGCATTTTATTATAATATATGACAAATTGCTGAAACCAAGTGAGTTTGTTTAATGATAAAAATGATGTTCACATAACTCCAAATTTGTTACTAGTGCCTGAAAATGAAAATTGTTATTTCATTGGCAATTTGTTTGTCCTAGAAGTAATCATTTTCCTCCAAAAACTTTTTTACTTTCTATGATATCTTTAAAAGACATCTTCAAAAATTTTTTTTCAGTTTTCTGCTTGTGAGCTATTTATTTTCTTTGGTCTGTCACTTACTTTGTCAGGCACCTATGTTAAAAGGCAGCAGGGTAGCATACATGGGTCAACAAAACCTTTGCCTCATGTATGCCCATTCATTGGCTGAGCCAGAGGGACCCTCTGATGTAGGAAAATCCAAGAAGGACAAAAACAAACAGTAAACATGAAGATAACTGATAAAATGGAAGTATGTTTAGGAAAACCATCTCTAACATAGTTTATAAGCCTTGATAATAAGATGTATCCCCCCCAGAGTATTCTTGTGCTCAAATGAATGGAGAAAAGTAATAACTTTAGGAAGCTAATGTATCTGTATGGTTTTCTTCATAGGGAAGCAGCTATAGAGAGGGTCTAACTCCGGTTCTCAGCTTGTTAACAGAATGTTCCCGAGCCCATCGAAACATCAGAAAATTTCTGAAAGATCAGGTAACTGCTTAATGCGTGTTACATCTCAAAGTTAATATTTTTATATTTTTTAACATGGAACCAATGAGTTGATTTTTCACATATAATCGTTTTCTTTCAGACAATCAGGAACTCAAAAAGTTAGTTTTAATCTTTGAAATCTTCCAATCAAGAAAGAAGTGATCTGTGTATTTTTTGAGTTGTTCATTGATTTATTCAACACCATTTGAGATTTGCTATGAGCTGTTTTCTAAGCATTGTTCTGAGCACTGACCAGCAGATTGAGTTGTACCCTCATAGTGGGGTGGATTCTAATGGCAGGAAATGCGAAGTGTTCTCATGAAAGATAACGCAGGGAAACAGGAGAGACAGGGATAATAAGGCTGAACCTCTGAGGAGATAACATTTGGGCAGAAAGTTGGATAAATAAGAGTGTCTCTAAGAGTGTCTATAGGGGAAGCTACCAGAGAGAACAAGTTCAAAGCTCCTGAGATGAGAGGATGCTTTGGTCAGCTTAAGGAGGAACAAGGTGGCCAGTGTGACTAGGAAGAAGTACACAGGAGAGAGCACAGTGGATGGAGTAAAAAAGGTAACCCATGGCCAGATAACATAAGGCTGGGAGGAAGTTTGCTTCTGAGTGAGATGAGAAGACACGAGTGTTTGGAGAGGGGAGTAATGTGACCTCGTTGATATTTGAGGCAACTCTGGCTCCTGTGTGCAGGATAGACTGAGTGGAACAGGGTGGATGGGTGTAGGAAACACACTGTGGTGAGAACTGAGGAAGGAAGGCTCATGGTGCAAGCAAGGGCTGAGAGTTCACACTGGAGGATATGTTTCGAGAATAGTCCTCACATGATGTTCTGAGAGATGGGGACCAGGATGGAGAAGGAAGGGAAAAATAAAGATGGCTTTTAAACTTTTAGATCATACTTTAAACTCCAAGTCTAAGACTTTGACAGTAACTGAAACTAACCTCCTCTAAAATCCCAGTCTCACGCACCTTCCCTTTGTAGTGCCCTTGATCCACCATTGTTCTGCCCCCTTGAGGGCTGTCAGGCCATCCGTCCTTTCATTCTTTCGATGACCTGTGTCCATCCTTGTCTTCTTACCAGGCTAGATCTTACATGTAACTCGTTACTGCTGTCACTCCCCCCCATACATCTCTACCCAGTCACCTTCTCTCCTCCCTCATACTCCGTAGAAAACACAACAGGCTCATTAACTCCAGCCTTTTTACCTACTCTGGAATTCTGCTGAGCACATGACTAGGATAAGTGAAAAGAAGTCAACCACGTTGACTAACCAAGGAGCTCCCAGCAGTCCGAGATAATTACAACTCCTCTTTCTTTGAACTTTCACTTACTCTGTTTGCATTCTCATTTGTTGACCTTGTTTCGTATTTCTGTAAGAAATTAAGAGGAAATGTCATCTTTCCACCACTGCATCTGTTGTCTGCCTGCACCTGTGTGCCAGTTACTCTGCCTCCCCTCTGTTACAGAGGTGGATTATCCCTGCTTCTTCCTGTGGCAGCCTCTGTTCCAGATCTATTTCCCTCGCTTTTTCATGAGCTTTGTCCCTGCATTCATTCATTCATTCATTCATTCGTTCATTTGTTCATTCATTCATATTCTCCTTCTCTTTCCCTCCGTCTTTTCCCTCCCTCCCTCCTGGTACTGGGGATTGAACCAAAAAACTTTACTTTGAGCTGCATTCCTAGCCCTTTCTAAATTTTTTATTTGGAGACAGAGTCTTGCTGAGCCTCTAAGTTGCTCAGGCTGGGCTCAAACTTATAGTCCTCCTGCCTCAGCCTCCCAAAGTGATGGGATTAGAGGTGTGCACCATGCCTGATTCCCTCTCTGCAGCTTCTTACATTAATCTTTTTTTTCTCTAAATATACTGGATCATTTCTGTCAGCACCCAAACACCTTCCATCTTCAGAATTTCTTTTATCCTACTTCTCAGTTTGCCATCCTGTTTCTCTGCTCCTCATCACCTCTGTTCTTTCTGTTCATCTGTGATTCTCTCCTGAACCTTCTGTAATGAGCTTCTATGCTCTCCACTCTCGAGCAGAGGTGTTTGTCAAAGTCACCAACCAGATATCACCAAAGTTCTCAAAGCTTTTCTTTTTGTTCTCTGATAGCATTTGATATGTGTCCCCTCCTCCTTGAAATACTTCCTTCACTTGGTTTCTGGAACACAGCAGAGAATCTCTGCTGATCTTCATCTTCCCAAATGTTTGGCTGCTCCAAGGCAACACTATTGTCTTGGTTCCTCTTCTTGTTGCTGAGACAAAATAGCCAACACCCAAAGTTTAAAAAGGAAAGTTTTATTTTGGCTCACAGTTTGTAGAGGTTTCAGTTCATAGTTGTCTGACTCCAAGGCAGAGTGGCCTGGCAGAGGGAAACAGTCCATGGCAGGCAGAAACCAGGAGGGTAGCAGAGTAGTGAGGAAACAGCAGCAGCAGCAGCCTGCCTCTCCTTTTTATCCCTTCCAGGCTACCAACCCTTTGGGTGGTGCCGCCCATACCCAGGGTGGGCTTCCCATTATCTACACCCAGAACTATACTAAACCAATCAGTAGACTAATTTAGTCATCATATGCCCTTAATCCCAGCATCACAAACCCTAGATCCAGCCACCTCTGAAAAGCCCCACCTATGTATGACTGCATGAAGGTTTGGGGGAACATCTACACACAATCCATAACAACTGCCCTGTCCCTATCTGCATACCTCTGGGATCTCATATGGGAGCAAAGCTTTTGAAAACAACCTATATGCTGATGGCTCTCAAGTTTCTATCTCCAGCCCTGAACTGTACCTGAAGCCCTGGATTTATTTAATGAACTCCCTACTCTGTTCCCATTGGGTCGGAAGTATTATCTTAAATTTAACATTGCCTAAGTTAACATCATGATTTCCCATCCCTCTAAGCTATTGTTTCCCCTTCTTTCCACCGTTCAATATATGGCACTACCACTCACCTCATTCATTTATTACCATAGAGAATTTCGCCTAATAAATGAACCAAATTTATTGTCTCTGTGTATATTTATAGTCAAGGTTTAGTAAGGACCTTACTACATGTAGGACACACTAATATATAGGCAGGCTTTCTTTATCAACCCTAGTATTTGGCTGATAGAGAAAGACGAAAAAGTAGAGACTCTATAAGGAAGTTCACATTCTATTGAAAGAAAAAGAGAAATGCCAAAAAGCATGAATAATCATTCAAGCAAGATAAACTAATCAATTAAAGTTATTTCTAAATGAAATTAAGACATTCTTGAGTGGAAAGACTTGGTGAAGAATAATAAAATACTATGTTTTCTGTATTTTTGCATTTTCACAAAAATAACCTTGGGATCAAAGTTTAAACTTTTTATTTTACCATCTCTAACTAGAACACAGAAAATCTGTTTGTTAAATAGCTTCTTTATATCAAGGCCTGGGCCCACATATTATGTGAAACAAAAGATGATGAGACCCACTTTACGTGCTCAAGAAACACTACAATATAGGTAAGAAAAATGAGATATGATAGGTAAAAAGATGACCAAAAATGTGCTAGTGCATTTTAATTACTATAACAAAGTAAAGCATGAAGGCTGTGGTTCTGCAGGTCCAAGGTTGAGGCCCACATCTGGTGATGGCCTTCTTGCTGGCAGAGGCCCAAGGAGAGCGAGAGACAGCTGTGTGTGTGTGTGTGTGTGTGTGTGTGTGCGCGCGCGCGCACGCGCGCGCCCCTTTTGGTCTCTCTCCCTCCTCTCATGAAGCTACCAGTATTCTGTCGTGGGACTGCACCCTCATGATCTTCTCTAACCCTGATTACCCTCGCAACGGTGCCAGTTCTAAAACCATAGTTGGATTAAGTTTCCGCCCTCTTAATGCCTCACAGTAGGGATTAAATTTCTACACATTAAAGCTTGAAGGATGCACTCAAACCATAACATCCTATCCTTGGCCCCCAAGGTTCATGTCCTTGTGATGTAAAACACAGTCGTTTCATCCCCAGTAGTCTCAAAGTCTTGAATCATTCCAGTATTAACTCAAAATTATAAGTCTCATCCAAGACTCGGGTGAACTCCTTCTAGCTGTGAGTCTATAAAATAAAAATAAAATATTTACTTCCAGTATGCAGTGGTGCAACAGCCACAGGTTATACATTCCCATTCCAAAAGGGAAGAATGGGCAAAATGGGAAGCAAAGGGGAAAACTAGACCAGAAACTCGCAGGGCAGAGGTTAAAACTTAAAGCTCCAAGTCTGAGGTCTGTGCACATGCAGTGAGGTCTAGGTCCCCGAGGCCTGAGCTCTCCCAGCTTTGCTGATTGCAGCCCACATGCCTGCGTGCTAATGTTGTTGGCTTTCCTGGGCAGGTGGGACATGTTGCTGGTCATTCCTCCCTTTTTGGGGAGCCCCGTGTGACCTCTGCTCCCACAACTCCACTAAGCATCACCCCATAAGCACTTCCTACAGGAGCTCTGATTCTGCAACAAATTTCTGCTTGGTCTCCCAGGCTTCCCTTTGAAATCTTGGTGGAAGTTGCCATAAACCAGTAATTCTCATATTCCGCACACCTGCAGAACCAGCACCATACAGGTGCCAAAAAAGCCTGACCCCCGGCAAGAGCACTCTTGAACCAATGCTACAGCTCCAGAGTGCTTTGCAGTTGAGTGCAAGGAAACGAACCCAGAGGTGGTGTTGGGTGGCCAGTCAGTGGGGAGTACCCTGGGCGCAGTCCTGAAACAGTTCCACCCCAGAAGATCTCTGGCCTGTGATGGGAGGGGTGGCCTAGCAGAGTTGTGAGTTATCTCAAGACCTTTTTCCTTTGTCCTGGCAGTGAGCATTCTGCTGATCTCCTTAGGAAGCAGTCCTCCTGTGCCCTTTTTGGCATATCCTAACACACATCTTTGCTCCTTCCCTGCCCAGTCTGTAAATTTTCCAATTTTATCACCCCGTTTCCTTTAGCTTCCACCTGTCACTGTAAATCTGACCAAAAGTGGCCAGAAGTACTGAAGTCAA